TGTGTCTCATGCAGAGCAAGCTGGGGCATGCGAAAAGACAAATTCCTAATGCAAGAAATTGTATATGGCCAAAAAAGTGATCCTATGTTACATCAAATGAATTTAAATTTAATAAAGGCATCATTGTACTTTTTTTTCTTGAGACAATCTTGATTTAATACGTTGGTCCTTTAGAGATCTGTACCTGTTTCAGTGTTATACTATATCGTTAATAGATGCTTCAAGTCTGGAAAGGTATTAAATTCCCACAAATATTTTTTTAAACATAATCTCAAATAAAGAGCAGTATAGTAACGTAGTCATTAGCATTGCTGTCTGGCAGGGCTTTAATTCCAGATCTGGAGTGCTACCTGTGTGTGGTGTGTGTGTTTGTCCAGTAGTGGACTGGAGTGGAGTTCGTCCAGGGTATACCCTGCCCTGTGTCCAGGACGTACCATGTTCCCTGGCAACCCTGAAATGGTAGACACGGTTAGAAAATGGATACATTGAATATCAAAAAGTACATTGGCTACTGTAGTTTCATCGGGTGAAACAGTCATTTTTCAGATACTGTAATTGTCCATTAGCCAGTCTGAGATTATATGTGGCAAAGGGAAAACTGTGAGCTGTAAACTTCCAGAAGATTCAAACAACACTCTGAAAAGATTGTGGAGCTTATTTCTCCTTGGTCTGTATTTTGTGTCTGTTTCCATTATATTATACTACATTACCTTTTATTCATCTCTGCAGAACCACTATATGCTTGAACACTCATCTATACCTCTGACTTAGTTACCGATCAAAACTTTGCAAGGAAAGCTCCACTGTCGTTGGCAGCAGCATTGGGAAAGAGCCTGGAGATGACTTGCAGGCTCACTGAGCTTTGCAGCGCTAAACTATTGAGTTCTGTGGGCTCTTCTTCCATAGAGAGTTGGACGCAGGGGAGCTGGCTTTTCCCAGTCTCCATTTCCCTCTCCATGACCTTGCATGGCTCCTCCCACCGCGGTCTCCCAGCCATCACCTTCCCAGTGGCGGATTCATGGACTGTCTCAGTGCGCTCTCAGAGGGAAGGGGAAAACATCCAGTTGACTTGTCCACGCAAGACGCTGGGTAGGCTGCTTCCATTCTCGGACCATTTGGGTCCTGGCTTCAGTTCCTTTGCTGTCTTTTCTGGATGGCGCATTCATGACAACAGTACCCGGCAGATTACGGGGGAACCTCCAATCATTTCATCATTTCCAAATGATCAGGATGGCCACCTCTTGACCATCTGGAACCAGTTCACAGCACCCCTACTGTCCTCTCTGGAAAGCAAACGCCCAGGTGCATGGTCTGGTAGCTCACGGAAGGTGGGGGTCGCAGGTCTGCACACACTGCCTGACCACCTGCACGCGAGCTGTGGCACCCCTGCCCTGTGCCAGTAGTGTCTGGGCACCCATGGCAGTTGGGGGCCTCACAATCTGTTTCTACTGGCTCCAGAGACTTCTCGGCTGGTGGGTCCGTTTTGTCTGAGGGCACCAGGATAGAACTATGCGAAGAAATCAGGGTTGAAGTGGCCTTACCAGGTTAGGGGGCTAGCAGGGCACGGTGAAGCACCAACAGCTGGCCCAGTGAGGGCATCTGCACCCGGTATGCACTGTCTCCCTCTCACTCAATCACTGTACAGGGCCCCACCCACAACCTCGAGCTTGCGGCATCAGCCTCTGACTCAGAGAGAACTGCAGGCCCAGACTTTCTCTTGTAAGTGATGCTGTCGATCTTTTGCCTGGAAGTAACAGTTCTATGTGAGTTGGGCCTGCATACAGGCTTATAGAGGGACAACGGTGTTAAATGGTGAACCTGGGGTAAAAGGAGAGAACGATGTGGTGACAACTGCTGTTTGGCAGCACAAGTGCCAAGGAGCAGCTCCTTGTCCCAGTCTATTTGATACTGGCTGCCCACGAGGGACAGCTGAACTCCAGGGATCAGATTGAAGCTTTTCACTAGGCAGTTACCTTGTAGGTGAAGGATGGTAGTGCAGGTCTTCCTGATCCCCAGAAGTTGACATACGGCAGCAAACACCCTGGGCTCAAAGTTTTGTCCTGGTTGGAATGGATCTTTTGAGGAATTCAAAACCTGGAAGGAACCCTTCAATCAGGACATCATTCATCGTCTCCACCTCTTAGTCTGGCTGAGCATATGCTTCAGGTCAGAGTGTAAAGAGGTCCATCACTACTAGGACAAACCAGGGAGAAGTAGAGTGGTGGCTCTGTGGTTTAGGATCTGCACCTGTGAATAGAAGGTAGCTGGTACAAATCATATGGCTGGTAGAGGAATCCTACTCCATTGGGCCCCTGAGCAAGGCCCTTAACCCCAACTGCTCCAGGGG